TATTTTTAAAAGCATTAAGTTTTTTTAATCTGCAGGTGATGACTCATCAGGATGGTCAGGGCTAGAATTTTTAAAACCAATAGATTAGAGGAGAGGAGAAAAGAAAATAGCAGAGTGTGTTTCTGGTAGAAAGGTAGGTGGGTTTTATTTGTGTATGTGCTCCTGTGCGAAGTGTGACATATACATTTCTTAGTGTGGGTTACAGTAAGAAAAAGAAAAATACTGCTCTAAGACAGACGCTCACAAACTGTGGTCTGCAGGCTAAACCCAGCAAACAACCTGTTTGTGTCAATAAAATTGTATTGGCATACCGCCATATATATCCCTTTATGTGTTATCTGTAACTTCTCTCATGCTACAGCATTGGGCAGAAGTGAGTCGTTGCAACAGTATGTGCAAGAAAGCCTAAAATATCTACTGTCTGGCCCTTTATAGAAAAAGTTAGCCAGCCCTTGGCTTAAATAATTCCTGTTACATGGCCCTAATCTGAACTACACCCTGAAACACATTACAGTGCTTCTTTTTTTGTTTTGTTTGTTTTTGTTTTTGTTTTCAGTGCTTCAAACTCACACTCTGTGCACTGAGCAAAATACTTATTCATTAGACAACACTTTTTAAAATTAATTTTTAATTTACATTTAATCACTATATGTCTTTATAGTATACAACATTGTTTTTTGCAGCTCGAATACGATGCATATCAGTCCTTACCATACACATTATCATCAGCAAGTAACTTTACATAAGGGTAAAATTCTACGAATTTCGTTCTCGGGCCATGAATTTATCATGGCAACCAAAATATAGTATTTCTACACCAGTAAAAGTTTCCTCTTAACTGGCACAAACCAGTCCACCTCCAATTTGAAAGCAGTTTTATTTTGCTTTCAATGCATTTTCAATGCATTATATACAAGGGGTCTTCAAGAAGTTCATGAAAAATGCGTATTACAGAAAAACTATGCATAGATTCAAAAACTGCACCAAAATAAAATTATCATTTAACCCCATTTTTCCCAAAACTTTTTAAAGCCCCTTTGTATATGCAGATATATAAATGCAAGACTCAATTCCCCAAACTGCTAGGTCCAAACAATGAACCCTCAATTAATACGAGTACCTGACTCAATGTCAAGTGAGGCCTGTGCTCAGCATCTCTTTAACACCATGGAAAGCCCAAATATTTAGTCCGAGTTAATGCTCTCAAAGGTTGAAGATTTAGTGTACATCAAAGGCACTGAAGAAAGGGGAGCCTCTGCTGTTAGCTGAGGCCTTCAGTAATCTACCACAGATCTGTGTCTGAATGTGAAATACACCAGCTCGCTTAATTTGGTGTTTGCCACCAGCTTTTGTGTGTTGGCAGGAAACTTATACCCTACTACTGAAAAAATAAGAAAATTCTTTCCCAGAGAGTTTCACGGCTTGAGACGCTCCAATCCATGCGGCCTTAAGGGCTGTTGAGCTATTTCTTTCCAAGAACGTCCCATGGTCTGAGAGCAGGCATTACCAGCAGGTGCTAATGGGAAACAAAATCACCTGCTTGGCATTCACCCCAGCAGAAGGATTTACAGGGAGTTTGTTTACAGCAGATTTAACAGCCTTGAGATTGGCACCAGAGATGACGGAGACAAAGTGAGGAGGTTGATGAAACGTATCTCTGTGGTCTCTGCCATTCTGCCCAGCTCTTCTTCCACCTCTTTGCTTTCAAGTTTTTATCAAAGAATGCCACCATCTCTTCTTCTCCTTGGACTGCCTGTTGCCACCCTGCACTGGGGTACTACCCAAACCCAGGCCCAATATTTGCCCTCTCTGCCAGGTATCTTGGATTTCCTGGGGTTGCCATGCATGCCTTCCTCCTAGAAACACACCTCTGACACAACATGGCCTGGTCAGGGACTCAGGCTGCTGTGAACTCCAAGATTAGGTATCAACTAATCCTTGATCGTGAGCCAAAGTTCTAACTCCTAAGAAATCCCAAGTGGGCGCTCCTCTTTCCCAAGCAGCGTCTGCTTTCTTATACTACCTTTTGAGCTAATGTTGCTGAACAGATAAATACTTTAAAAAGTGAAAACTTTCAAACATACAGAGAATTTAAAAAGTAATATGATGAACTATCCTGTACATAGCTTTACCAAGTCTCAATATTTTCACTAGATAAGCTTCAGACTTTTCAAAAGGCAGTAAAATATTATTGATAGCATTACAGACCCTGGGTGGCCCTTCTCTAATCTCATTCACGTCTCTCTCTAGAAGAAAAGTCCTTCTTGAATTTAGAGCTGATCACTTCCAGGCATGTTTATATGCACAGGCCTAAACAATGTATGGGATTTCTTGGTAGCTTATCAAGATTCTGTTTAACTCTTCTCATTCCATACAAAATGTTAAAAACTTGCTTCTATTTTTGTGATTTTTCCATGATAATATGTATCACCCTGGTTCAGTTCATTAATTTTAATTTCTGAAGATGGTTTCATTATATAATATTCAATTTTTATGTCTTATAAATAGCTTCACTGAGATGCAATTGATAAATGGCACACACTTAAAATACAAATGTAATAACTTTACAAATATGTATATGCCCATGAAATAGCCACTACAGT